GGTTGGGGCCCCCTCGGGCCATCTTGGATGTCTCTGCGGCCGTTTGAGAGCCGTCCTGGGGCGCTTTTGAAGCCTATTGAGCCATCATCGGGCGATCATCGGGGCCTTTTGGGGCGTCTTGCAGCGACGGGAAGCGGAACAGGCCGAAATGCCGACACTGTTCAAACACCTAAGGCGGGTCAGTGGTTGTTGGCCTCTTCGAGCTCTCTTGGGAGACCTCTTGGAGGCCTCTTGGGTACATTGGAGGCCTCTTGGGTCGCCTGGAGGCCGTCTTGGACCGTCCGTTGGCCGTCGGCCCATCCCGCCACCGTGCCTGGGTTGTGGGTTAGAGGCCTCTTGGAAGCTCGTTTGGGTATCGTGGGAGGCCGCGCGGGGGAGCCTCTTGGAGGCAGTTTGGGATGCCTCTTGGGGGCGTTTTGGAAACCTCTGGGGGCCTCGTGTTGGGCGTCTTAGGGGGCCTCGTGGGGCCTTTAGGGCGCCTCTTGGGCTCTTTTGACGGCCTCCTGGGGCCTCCAGGGGGCCTCTTGGGGCGGAACCCTCGAATTGTCGGTTCGTGTTCCCCCTCTTGGGCCCCTCTTGGGACCGCCTTGGGGCCCTCTTGGGCAATATTGGGCGTCTCTTGAGCCGTTTTGGGGCCCTTTTGCACCGTCTTGGGGCCCAATTGGGGGCCCCTTGGGCCGCCTTGGGGCGGTCCTGGGGGCCTCTGGGGCCACCTTGGGGCGTCGGAAGCCCATAACGCTAGAACGAAAGGCATCGATAACCACGACGAGCATCACGGATGGTTGCCTTTTTGGGACCTCTAGGGGATCCTCTTGGAACGCTCTGCGACTGCTTCGACGCCTCGTGGGCCGTCTTGGGACCACCTTGGGCGTATGTATTATAGTGATGTATGTGTGTATGCACGCATGTATGCATGCATGTATGTGTGCATGCATGTGTGTATGAATGTATGCATGTATGTATGTATGTATGTATGTATGTATGCATGCATGTATGTATGTATGTATGTATGTATGTACGCATGTCTGTATATATGTTTGTACTCATGTACGTCATGTGTTTGAGTGTGTATCGTGTTGTCTTGTATTACATTGTGTTGTATGTGTATGTGTGTATGTGTATGTGTGTGTGTGTCTGTCTGTCTGTCTGTCTGTCTGTCTGTCTGTCTGTCTGTCTTCATGCTTGCATGTAGTGTATGTGTATGCATGTATGTATGTATGTATGTATGTATGTATGTATGTATGTATACGTGTGTGTGTGTGTGAGAATGTATGTATGTGTGTGGGTATATATAGATGTATATATATATATATATATATTGATGGACGGGTGTGTATATATATATGTTTGCGTGTGGGTGCATGGTTGTGCACGTGTGAGTGTATGTATATACGGTTGTCTGTGTACATGCATGTACATGTGTATGCACGCTTGCATGTATGTATGTACGTATGCGTGCATGCATGCAAGTATGTATGCATGCGCGTGTATATGGATGGATTGATGTTTGTGTGTGTGCGCGTGTGTATGGTTGCATGCATGTATGTGTATGTATGAAGGCCTGCATATATGCAGGCATGCATGTCTGTCTGTAGGTGTGTGTGTGTGTGTGTGCGCACGGAAAACTCTCCGCCGCCGTGCCTGCACGTAGTGTCAAGTCGGGCCTGTCCCCCTACAGGGGGATTTTCGACGAAAAATAAAAATACACCAAAAATAAGCAAGAAATAATCCAAAAATAGTCTGGGACGATTGTTTGACTATATTTTTTTAATCTTTCTGGGGCAATATATATATATATATATACATATATAGTTCGTCGAAAATCCCCCTGTAGGGGGACAGGCCCGACTTAAACGTAGTGGCGTGCCCCACGGCTCATGCAGCCCTGTGCAGCCTCAGGGGCAGATGGGGCTGCAGGGTTCGCAAGGGCCCAGGCCCCCAGTTTTTCCCAGCTGCTCCTGGGAGCTCCGTGTTCTTGTTGCTCCAGACGGGCTGCTCGAACCCATCAAGTGGTCATGCAGCGTGCAGAATGGCCTGTGCACCAGGGTGCAACCGCAGCTGCCAACACAAAGTGCAGCAGAAAACGCGATGTGGAAGAAATAATGGGATGGCGACACGGAAAGCTCCCGGGAGCTGCTCAGCCAGCCTCAGACGACCTCCCGAACCCTCGAGAGCGTTTCCCGAGCCGCCTCTGATGGCTACACAGATCCCCAGAGCGGTCCAAAGCAGCTTCAAGACGATCCGCTGTGGCCCCAAGACGGTCCAATGAGCCCACCCGACTCCTCAAGAGGTCCCCAAAGGCATCCGCAAGAAGAAGGCCCCTAGAAGAAACTAATCGTCCCATCCCGCCGAGGAACGTGCATTTCCAGCGAATTCGCCTTTTGCGCTTTCACGGCGTCAAGTGTCGAGGAAACGCCCAAGATCGCCCCAAGAGGCCCCGAAGATCGTCCCAAGACGGCTCAACAGGCTCCAAAAGGGACTCCAAAACGGCCCAAGGTGACCCCAAGAGAGCGCAAGAGGCCCCCAAGACAGCCAAAGAGAGCCCCAAAGCACCCCAAAGAGAGGCTCCAGAGGGGAAACATGCCTCCAAGAGGTCTTCCAGGAGGGCCCGAAGAGACCAAAACCATTAATTTTCCTCAGGTCGATGAAGAATTTGGGCATTTGCCCTTTTTCTGCATCCCGACGGCTCAAGACGGCCCAAGAGGCAGGCCTCCAAGATCGCCCCAAGATCGCCCACGAGGCCTCCAAGATGGTCCCATGACGGCCCAAGAGGCCCCCCAGACGGCCCGAAGAGGGCCCTAAGAGGCCTCCGAGACGGCCAAGATGGCCTCCAAGACGGCTAAGATGGCGCCAAGATGCCTCCAAGACGGCCCAAGATGCACCCAAGACAGCCTGAGATGGCCTCAAGATGGCCCAAAACGACCGAAGAGGCCCTCAAGAGGCTCCCAATACGGCCCAAGAGGCCTCCAAGAGGTGCTCCAGAAGGCCCGAAGAGGCCGAAAGCATTGATTTTCCTTAGGTTGATGAAGGATGTTGGCATTTGCGCCTTTTCGGCCTTCCGACGGCCCAAGACAAACCCAAGAGGCCCCCAAGATCGCCCAAGGCACCTCCAAGATGGTCCCATGATGTCAAAGAGGCGCCCAAGACGGCCCCAAGAGGGTCCCAAGACCGCACAAGAGGCCTCCAAGACGCTATCGATGACCTTCACGACGGCCAAGATGGCCCAAGATGGCCTCCAAGATGCCTCAAAGACGGCGGAGATGGCCTCCAAGAAGGCCATGCTGGCCCCAAGAAGCCTCCAAGACGGCCCAACATGCGCCCAAGACGGCCTAATATGGCCTCAAGATGGCCCAAGTGGCCCCCAAGAGGCCTCCAAGACGGCCCAAGAGACTTCCAAGAGATCTTCCAGGAAGGCCCAGAGATCCAACACGTCATTGATTTTCTCTATTCTTTTGCTGTTTGTTTTAAAAAAGGATTTGGGCATTTGCTCCTTGTCGACCTTCCGACGGCCCAAGACGGCCCAAGAGGCTCCCAAGGTCGCCCCAGGATCGCCCAAGAGTCCTCCAAAATGGCTACGTGACGGCCCAGGAAACCCCCAAGACGACCTCAAGAGGGCACCAAGACAGTCCAAGAGGCCTCCAAGACGCCCACGATGGTCTTCAAGACGGCCCTGAAGCGCCCCAAGAGGGCCCCTAGTCGGTTCAGAGAGGCCTCCAAGAGGTTTTGGTTCATTTCCCCCCCCCAAAAAAAAAGACTCCGCCTGGGGCTCCGGCCCAGCCCGCCAGGGTCCCGGAAGGCTCTTCCTGAGGTGGTCGCAAAGGTTTTTCCTGCTCTCGACGGCTCCACGATGACCCAAGATGGCCTCCAAGACGGCCAAGATGACCTCCAAGACGGCTAAGATGGCCCCAAGATGCCTCCAATACGGCCCAAGATGCACCCAAGACGGCCCAAGACGGCCTCAAGATGGCCCAAGACAGCCGAAGAGGCCCCTAAGAGGCCTTCCAGACAGCCCAAGAGGCCTCCAAGAGTTCCAGGAAGGCCCAAAGAGGCCCAAATCATTGTTGTTCCAGAAAGGTTTTCAACAAATTTTGGCATTTGCGCCTTGTCGGCCTTCCGACGGCCCAAGACAGCCCAAGAGGCCCCCAGGGCCGCCCCAAGATCGCCCAAGAGGTCTCCAACATGGCCGCATGACGGCCCAAGAGGCCCCCAAGACGGCGACCTCCAAGACGTCCAAGAGACTCTCAAAGACGGCCATGAAGCGCCCCAAGAGAGCCCCAAGTCGGTTCAGAGAGGCCCCAAAGACGGCTTCCGTCGTTGTCAGACGGGTCGGGAAAGCCCTAAGACGGCCCAAGAGGCCCCCCAGAAGCCCCTAAAGGCCCCCAAGAAGCCCCCAAGAGGCCCAGGGATGCTCCCAAGAGGCATCCAAAAGGTTCCCAGGAAGCTAAGCAGAGGCCTCCCAAGAGGCCTCGCAAGACGGTTCCCAAGAAGTCTTCTCCTCCTACTCCTCCTCCTTCCCTATCATCCCATCCTCATCCTCATCCTCATCCTCCTCCTAATCATCCTCCTCCTCCCTCTCCTGATCCTCCTCCTATTGCTCCCCCACGCGTTCCCCGAAGGCTTTCCAAACCGACTCGAACAACTGGCCCGATGGCTTGGGCCAAGCTCTAGCCCAGCTGTCGGCCATATAGGTGCTTCCAAAGGGGCAGGGGGCGTCGGTCATTCGCCGTAGGCGTCTTCGATCTGTGTGTCTGTATGTATAGGTGTGTATATGTATATGTAGCTGAATGTGAATATCTATATATATATGTATGTATATACATGTATCTGTAGTAAATACATATACAGACATACAGGTATAAGCAGACACGTATGTAGAACAGACAGACAGACAGAGAGATGATTGTGGGAACGCAAGTAGAAAGAAAGAGACAGAGAGAGAGAGAGAGGCATGAGTTGTTTTCGAATCCGAACAAAGGCCCATGACCGATTGCGAAATTCTGTCACACGTTCACAACCGGCAGCACTTCCACCTCCCCTTTCACTGCGGCCTCCACCCACCACGTGCCAAGGATCCTTTCGAAAGGGGCTTTGAGCTTCGCACCTGGCTTGAGCGCGTGGCGAAAGCGAATTCGGTAGTGGCCCTCCTTCTGCTTCCCGACTACCTCCCCATCGTCACCCGCATGGGGCCCGATCACCAGTTTCACCGTGGCCCCCTCGCGGAGGTCGAGCTGTGTCAATTGCTCGATCGTCGGGGATGGACAGACCTCCCTTTAGTAAAACGTGGTTTAGTGAAAGCGACCTGAGGACCAAACCTGGCGGGCGCAAGCCTGGAAAATTACGGCCGCGGCGCCCTCTCGAGAGCCGAAAACGGACAATTCACTAATCGACGTGTCACTGTTGGGGGTTCTGTCCGCCCCCGAGATCGGTTCTCCTTTCTCGCTGGACCCCGCGGCCTCCTTGATCCGGCGCCCCGTGGCCGCCTCGTAGGGCACGAGGAACAAGTCCTCCTCGGGCTGCGCCGAAGCCATCCCTCGTTCTCGTCCTTCCCCCTTTTAGAAGCCTCCTAGATGGGGTCGGAGTAGATGGGGTCCGAAGATCGCACCGCATCGCCGATACATACGCGATGCATCGACGATGCATCGGCGATGCATCGGCGATGCACTGGCGATGCATCGTCGACATCGGCGATGCATCGGCGACGTCGACGTGAAGCAAATCGGGCTGCACATCGAGCCGCATCGCCGATGTATCGGCGATGCGGCGCGATCCTCCGACCCTATCTACTCCGACCCCATCCAGGAGGCCTAGACCTTTTCCACCTGCAGGCGCGGCGGGTACACGATCTGTTCCACTTCGACCATAACCTCGTTCCCGGTCAGTGGGTCTATGTCAGGGACCTCGACCTTGACAGTCCGCGGGGCCGACGCGGCGACGAGGTCGCGCATGGTGGGTGGCTCGTGACTGCCCTTCGCATCAAGCTCATCGACCATCGCTGCGGCCAGCCGGTCTAACTTCGCGAAGATCCGCAGCGCCGCGTGCCCGTCCAGGGCCGTGCGCTGCAAACTGCAGATCACCAGGCCAGATCTCGCGGGTGACACGGGAGTGTCTTCAGCATCCCGAGATTTCGAGGGGCAGCTACCGGGGGGACCGCTCGGGGGCGAACATCGGCCTGGAGTCTGGAGAAGGAGGAGGAGGAGGAGGAGGAGAGGGCAAGGAGGAGAAGGAGGAGGAGAGGAGGAGGAGGAGGAGGAGGAGGAGAGGGCAAGGAGGAGAAGGAGGAGGGGAGGAGGAGGAGGAGGAGGAGGAGCAGGGCGAACATCGGAGATACATCGCCGACAGATCGGAGATAAAAAGTCCGGACAGCCGCTCCGCGCCCCGCCATCGCTCGGACGTCCCGTCCCCGTGCATGCTTCGATGTCGTGCGCGCGTTTTCCGCAAGATGCGGCGTACCTGTTCCTGTGCAAGCTCCTCGGCACCGCCTGCACCCCCCGAGCCCCGCCCTCTCCGGCCGCCTGAGGCCCCGCCCGCCTGTGCCCTGTCTCCCCCAATTAGAGCTGTGCGTCGCCCGCCTGGCTTTTAGGGGAAGAGGCTCGCTCTCGCCCCGCCGACCAAAAAATGTTTCCCGCAAAATGATCCAGGGTGCGCCCCGATGGCCCCCGCCGACGAGAGTGCACGCGTCCGAGCGAGGCCAAAGCATGCACCCGGGCGGGGCGGGCTAAGGGGCCCCCGTCGGCGATGAACGGGCGATCTTTGGGTCGATGCGTCCCCCCCTTCCGAGCCTACAGTCTGACCTGGGTTTGTTTGAGCGGGGACCGCCCGTCCCGGCATTTCTGTAGGCCTGCCACGACACGTTCGCAGAGCCCGAGCGTGTTCTAAGAACAGAAAACAAGGTTCTTAGAACATGCTCCTGATGTGTGACAACAAGACAGCTCCGGCCAGAAATGGTCTAAGAGCATTTCGGGCAGACCCCAAAAGGTTCGTATAACATTGCTTGGTAGGCCTATAGGCACGCCAGGACGCCTCGCCACTGCTTGACTTATGTTGCTCCCATCGCACTTAAGGACCACATCCCAGAAATACTTTCGAACACCCAGCAAAGTATCGAACACATGTCCAACGAGAATCACCTCCCAAGGCCCGACACGTCACAACCCTCCAGTTCGGTACTTTCTTGGTGAGTTCTTTCTCGCGGTCAAGAACATTAGCACATCACAAACCTAGGCCAAAAGAACATCCGTCAAAAACATAAGACCGCCCGCCGACCAACACACAAAACATCCAAGAGCACCCACCCTCCCCAGGATGCACAATAACATCCAACAAGCACGGAGAACATTAGGACATCCTCCCCGAACCGACCTCGATTTTTTAACTCGGTCCGACTGTAAGCCCCCTAACGCTGCCCCTGATTTCGTGGCAGACTCACAGTCTCGTTCCCACGCTGCCCGCTGGCGCTGGGCGGTTTCCACACAGATGCTGTCGGCATTCATGCCGGCCAAGCTCGTGCCGAAGGCCAAGACCACGGTTGCCTCGGCTTTCAACCGCAGGAAATCCTCAAACAAATCCTGTCGGCCACATGCAAGAGCGACCCTAGGCAAGGGTGGCCTTTGATGCGCGGCTTCGAGAGGCCGTGGGGAGGCCAAAGCCGAGCGCGCAAGCAAATGCTGGGGGTGCACTGTGACGAAGGGTCACTCTTGCGCGTAGTCGATCCTTGCGGAGCTCGCCGCTCATGGGGACAACTGGGTTGCTGGGATCGTACCAAGAGCCGTGGATCTCGTTGAGCGCGTGCTGCGGGAAGCCCGCCTTCTGGGGAAGCCCGTCGTGGTTCTGCTGCAGCCACCCGTGGAGCAGACCCTTGTGGTAGCAGGCGGCGAGCACGCGATGACACAGCGTCGGCTGCGAGAGGTAGGGGGATTTTCGCGCTGGGCAAAAGGGTGGGATAGCAAAGGGGGGGATAGCAAAGGGGGGGGATAGCAAAGAAGGGGGGTGAATACAAAGGGATAGCAAAGGGGGGGGGATAGCAAAGGGGATAGCAAAGGGGGGGAAAGGGGGGGATAGCAAAGGCGCCCATGTATCGAGGAATGGGCCTGGCGGCGGGGCCGAAACCAGCTGCATGCAGCAGATTTCGTAACCCCCCCTTTCTTGAGCAGGGACCGACCGTCCCGGCATTCCTATAGTCCTACCACGAAATGTTCTTAGAACCCAACAATATTCTAATAACACAAACAATATTCTTAGAAGTTAATCCCGACGTGTTAAGACAAGACGGTCCCAACCAGACATGTTCTAAGAACATGTCGTGGAAACCGCACCAAGTTCTTAGAACATTGTGTGGTGGGGCTATAGGCGAGCCAGGACGCTTCGCCACTGGTTGACTTTCCCAATCCCGCTGGGGCCTTTCGGCGGCGCCTCCGGCGCCGCCCCTGGCGCGCTCCGCGCGCCAGGAAAGGGGGGTCCAGCGCCGATCCCAGAAATCCGCGCGGACCTCCGAGTTTTTATATTTATGTCACTCTTTGTTCCCCTCGGATTGGGACAGGGAGGGGTACGATATCTGCTGCATGCAGCTGGGGGGGTACGAAATCTTCCTACTTCCCATATGTTCATACAGTTTCTGGGGAGTGGGCGATTAGTTGTGTCTGTGTGTTTTTCCCCTCCTGACTTTCGCCCGGCCCGAGCTTTGGGGGCCGCTCCTCCTGCGCCCGACTGGTGGTGCGACGCCGCACGGCGGGCTCGCGCGCCGCGACGCCCTCGGCCTGGCTCCCGACGCCGCGCGGCGCGCCCTCGGCCCCCCCGAGCGCGCGCTCCCCTCGCCGGAGGGCCCCGGAGGCCCTCGGCACCGCCCTCCGCGCGGACCCGTCGCGGCGAGCTGCTCCCTGTGGGCCCCTGGAGGGCCCGAGGCGGGCAACTCACCGCGCCGGGAAGCGGATGAGGAGGAGGAGGAGGAGGAGGAGGAGGAGGAGGAGGAGGAGGAGGAGGAGAAGGAGGAGGAGGAGGAGGCCCGAGGCGGGCCTCCCGTGAGGCCCCTGAAGGGCCCGAGGCGGGCCTACCGTGAGGCTCTCGGCTCCCGTGAGCCTCCCCGAGGCGGTCCCCGGAGGCCCTCGGCACCGTCCTCCGCGCGGACCCGCTGCGGTGAGCTGCTCCCCGTGGGCCCCCTTGAAGGGCCCGAGGCGGGCCTCCCGTGGGCGCTCGAGCGGACGAACACGCCGCCCGAGAGCCCCGCATCCCGAGCGTCGCAGAATCCGGAGGAGGAGGAGGAGGAGGAGGAGGAGGAGGAGGAGGAGGAGGAGGAGGAGGAGGAGGAGGAGGAGGAGGGAGGAGGGAGGAGGAGGAGGAGGAGGAGGAGGAGGAGGAGGGAGGAGGAGGAGGCAGGAGGAGGAGGAGGAGGAGGAGGAGGAGGAGGAGGAGGAAGCGGAGGAGGAGGAGAAGGAGGAGGAGGAGAGGGAGAGGGAGGAGAAGGAGGAGGAGGATGAGGAGGAGGATGATGATGAGGAGGAGGAGGAGGAGGAGGAGGAGGAGGAGGTCCGCAGCCTGGCTCAAGCCGCGGGCCTCCCGTGGGCGTTCGGTGGAGCGCCCGCGCCGGCGTCGCTGCCGCGTCGAGGTGGCGCGAGCCTGCCGTGCCGTCTTGGTCCTGCAGCGACTTCGGGCAGCCCTGCAGCGCCCGGCTCCGCGGGCCCGAGGCGTAGTCGTCGACGCCCGCGGCCGTGGAGATGCCCGCGCCCGTGTAGGCGACGACGCGGCGGGGGCGCGGCGGCGCGGCGCTCCCGGCCTGCGTGCCGTCGGCGCCTCGCGTGCCGCTCTGCGCCAGCAGCATGGCGTGCAGCAGCTGCACCTTCTCGCGCAGCACCGCCTCGCTGTCCTCAGGGAACCGCACGCGAACCCGACCCCTGCCCCCCACGATTTCTGAGGGGGAGGGCGGGGTTCAATTTGCTCGGGAGCTCCCGAGCGAAGTGAACCCTACCCTCCCCCTCAGAAATCGTGGGGGGCAGGGGTTAGGGGTCAAACAAACCTACCTCGCTTTTGACCACACTCGCTTCCAAGAGATACCAAGCGATGCCAAACTACGGCCTGTACTGGTCAGGCCGCTTGACGAGGAGGCGCGTGGTATGGCTTGGTTTTGCCTGGAAGCGAAAGCGGGGTAGGTAATGCACGCTCTGACCCTCAGAAATCGTGGGGGGCAGGGGTAAGGTTCGCGTGTGGCCCCTTAGTCCTCGAACTCGTCGGCGGTCATCGAGTCGTAACCCGGGCGGGCCAGGCCCTTGTCCTCCAGCGTGCACGCGGGCGGGGGCCAGCCGAAGCCTGCGCACAGGTACCCGTGGACGCATGCCGGGCTGGTCTCCGACCGAGGTCCGCTCGTCGCCATCTCTCGCGCCAGGCCCAGTCCATGTGGCCGAGCCAGGGCGGCTACGGTCATGTCGGGCCTGTCCCCCAACAGGGGGAACGTCGACGAAAAATTAAAAATACCCCAAGAATGCCCCAAGAAGGTCAAACAATACTCAAAAAATAGTCCCCAGACTATGTTTGGACAGTTTTCTGTTCTTACAGACTCTTTTGGGTGTATTTTCAATCTTTCGTCGAAAATCCCCCTGTAGGGGGACAGGCCCGACTTAAGGCTACGGAGCAGGGGATGGGCTCGGAGGCGGGCGTACTGCGCGAGGCCGCTCCGAGCGGGCGGCAGTCCAAGATGACCAGCAGCGGCCTCGCGACCGGAGACGGCAGGCCACGGAGGCGCTCACTGGTCGACTGCGGCACGGCCCTCGCCCGTGCCTTACGTCCGCGGCGGGCGAGGGGGAGAAGTGAGAAGGGGCGGGCCTCCTCAGTCGGGGATCTTCTTACCCGGGTCAATCCAGACCCTGGTCAGCAGGAAACCAAAAACTGCAATGCAGGAAAAAAGACTGCAACGCAGATCTTCGCAAACCCGGGTCAGTCAATATGTGCGGCCGCCTCGCGGCCACGAGCGGCTCCCTAACCTGGGTCAACCAGAGGGGGTCTTCGCAGGATCCTGCAGGATCTGGCGCCCTGGCTGACCCCCGTCTGCATTGGCCCCCGTCTCAGGGCTCCCGACTCAGAAGGCTGGGAAGCCACCCAGCCTTCTGAGAAATTTTCGAAGCCTTCCCCGAAGGCACGGGGAAACCTCAGACGGTGTGAGGGCTTCTGAAGTCCCGCCGACTTCTGAGAAGGCCTTCTCCTTCTCGCTTGCCGGTGGTACAGACCCTTCTACAGTCGGACCTAGGCCAGAAAAAACAAAAAAACATCCTTCAAGAACATGAGACCCTCCACCGGCCAAAACACATAGAACATCCAAGGGTATGCTCAATAATGTCAAACAAACAAGAATAACAGTAGGGTGCCCTATCCGAACCGACCTCGATCTGTTACCTCTGCCCGACTGACGGATGGCGTCGTGAAGGTGGACACGGACACGGTCACAACAGTCAACTGATGCGATGATTCCAACGTGGATTTCCCCAAAAATGAGTTGTCGCCACCGTGGATTGCAACCTACAGTCAAAACGTAGATTAAGGGCGGTTGGCAAGGATGCAAGACCCTTGGAGGCCGAAGTTGGACTTTTTGGGCGGCGGGCGACCAATGGAAACGGCAAAGGACGTGAGGCAAGGACACAAGGGCATCCTAGACAAGGCGCGCGTCCTTACGAGGCGCGTTGACTGTGTGCTGTGCAGTGTGTTCGTTGTAGAATTAATCTGGTGCCAACTATCCGCCATCGTGGCCACTGGCACATTGAGGCGTGGTAGAATGCCAAGTGCTGTCTGGTAGGGGTATGTAAGGTTCTGTGATATTCTGGGGGGTCCCCCTCAGAGGAGCGTACTGTTGTTTGCACCGTCCACCGCTCCCGAGAGAACGATCCCTGGTTGAAAACTGGATCCGCGCTCCCGAGGCCACGATCCTAGTTTTGAACAACGGATATGCGCTCCCCGGTTTCCAAGACGGCCAGAACAAACAACTAAAGCCGCCAATATGGCGAAACATGCATGCAACACGGCCCAAAATGGCCCCAAGGCGGCCAAAGCCGACCTCAAGGCGTCCCACGAGACCCCCAAGACGGCCCACGAGGGCCACATGAGGCCACCCAACCCAGTGGGGCCCGAAGGAGCCAAAATCATGGATTCCACTGTGGTTTTCCACATACTTGAGCGTCTCCACCTTTGCGGCTTCCTGCAACTCCAGACGGCACTTGAGGCTTCCAAGATGGCCCCAGGATGGCCGAAGAAAGTCCAAGTGGCCCATTGATCCTCCAAGACGGTCTCAAGAGAGCACAACAGGGCCCCCGCACCCAGTGGAAGACTGCTGCTGG